GGGAATGAAAGGATTCATGAGTTTTCACAAACATGAAGATGTACATATACAGTAACTCACTGACAAATGTTCATTTTCAAGATGAACTAAACTCAAGTTGCAGAAACACGAGTCACTCTGATGGACCACTCTCTCCTGGATGAGCACACTACACATTTGAATACTAATCCCCACTTAAGCAACTTACTAAATTAAAAATAAATGCACAGCAACTATAGGGGAGAAATACAAGAGATAATTATCTTAAAAGGAACAAGATACATGTAGCTACCTTTTCAGCTTGAACCACTGTTCTTGGAAATCCATCAAGGAGAAATCCATTTGCACATTCAGGTTTACCAAGGTTGTCATCTATCAGTTCAACCACAAGAGCATCACTAACAAGCTGAAAATGTGGGGTGGAAAGAATCATAAATAAAAAAAACATGTAAGGTACAGTATTTCATCAAACACTTAAGCAGAATGTAACTAGGTACGATGGGTCATGTGCCACATTGCTAGTGCTTTGTACACAAACCACCATGCAGCCATGATCATAATAAAATCGTAAAGTGGTCTGGGTAACAAAAAAGAGAAGAAGTGGCCTTATGGTCAGTCTGTGGCACAGAGGACACAGGAAAAAAGGATCAATATCAGTGAGGACAAGGATTACTTTGTTTTTAGGGCCTGATGGTCACTCTGTTGTACAGAGGACACACTGAGAGAAGTACGATCCAAATCAGTGAGGACAAGGGAACACAACTCACATAATCTGACCCAGTACCAGCAAATTGTCATGGAGACTTGGTGAAATGGAAAGGTTCCAGAAAAAGTATCAAACCTTCCTCTGCTTTTTCCTTTAATTTTTTGGTAGTTTCTTATACAACTTGTGACCCCGTAGTAATCAATTGATGTATATTCATCTTCAAATTCCTCCTCCAACTTATACTAAAACATACATGAAAGTCAGAGAGTACAAATTAAAAGACTAAGTTTGAACTTAGCATCTGCAAACACCATGAAGGGATAATCATCACCCCTCTGCCCTCAATCACTTAATGTTTTGTGGGCTTCATAACTACGTATTGTAATCTATTCTTTCTGTTCTACGACTTTCACTTTCTTTGTGCCCCTGGCTTCCCTAAAGACTCTTCCATTGTAAAAACTACACACACATGCCTCAAAAAAAGTGTTTCAGTATCAATACAGTTATTTCAATGGCTAATTCACATTGAGAAGAGACATTTTGAACATGATCTGAGGTCTTCCTTACTTGTCCAGAGTCCATAACCTGTTTGACTTTTTTACCCAAAGTGGAACCAGATGCCACAACAGCTCTTAGCATATCACCTTAAATTGAAAGTAGAATACTGTTTAGTTAGGCTGACAGCTGTGTGTTTCACTTCACTTTCCAGGGCAACTTTTAGCACTTTGACTGAATGAATGATCAAGACAGAATTTCTCCTTACAAAATTTATTCAATATCAAGCAGACACCTGATGGGAACAAAGAAATTATAACTTAGGGGATTATTAGTTGATTCGAATCCAAATTCTTGTAACTAACATTACAAGAATTGTATTGCAGACAGTAAGGAAGATTGCTAATGATACTTTGGGAGTGAAATGGTGTAATATACCTCTCCCTTTCAAAAGTCAAGGCTCCATCACAAGTTTTCAAAGCTAAAATCATTTGAAAAGTATGGCACATAACGAGAACAATTGATATTCAGATCCTGTGGTGGCAGGGTTAAATTCCGGTTTAATGTAATCGTAAGAGGAAATGAATCAGAGTGAATTTGCAAATTGATCGTGATTCAACAATTAACGTTGAGACCTATTTGTTAAACGAAAATCATACCTGTTGCTAAGTGGCAAACACAATATTTCTCAGCCAGTTTAGGTGCCTGAGGTTAGAAACCAACAACGCGTTAATGCAATATTGTTTATGATCAGTAAGACGAATCATCGAAGCCTTACGAAAGATCGTACGGTAATGTTGCAAAAAGAAAAAAACTACAAGAAACAAAACAAGCAACATATAAACAAGCCAATGAGTAAAGGCAGAGTAAACGCATCTCTTAAGGTGTTAAGAAAATGTCAAAAAACCGAATAAGGAATCTTCAAACCTGTGTTCCTTTACCAGCTCCAGGCGGGCCAAGTAAAATCCCATTCACTCCTTTCTTGACAGTTTGAGTCGCTTTTGAAACCATTTCTTGTAGTTCTTTCGGACTAGTTTGTCCTCTTCCACCCTCGGCCTTAAAAAATGTTTGCGAATCTCCCGGTGGGGCCATTTTATTACAGTAAATGAGGGATTATTTGTAGCCAAAGATACTACACCGTACGAAACGGCCCACGGTACGGACTACAGATGATCAAAGGGCAATCTACCGAACTGTGGCCTCCACGTTACGACATGCGCACTGAATGACGCTGGAAAATTAGAAAAGCAGAACCTGGAATCGGACTGAGGAGTCGAAGGATTCTCCAATTAAAAGCAAACTGATACAAAGTAATAGTAAATGATACTACTTTCATGCAAGATTCGCAGCAAAATTTGCACAAATAGTTCACTAAATCGTAAATTTAAACTGAAATCTAGCTGAATGCATTTGTCTTTAGTGCAGAAAAAAAAACCTTCACCACTTCAGCAAGCGGGATCGTAAATGTAACGTGTAAAAATACAAAAAAAATAAATTACCAGAAACTGTCTTATAAAACAAAATTAATTTTTTTCAAACGGTAATAGTGAAAATTGATTTCGGCAGGATCATGGGACAGCAACACGTCGAAAGAATCATAGAAAGTTAATGTCGGAAATGATGAGAGGGAATTTAGTCGATTAATACTTTAAATACAGAAACACCGATACTCCGAGTTTTTTCGCTCTGACGAAGGGCTGACGCTCGGAAAGTCAGCTTTAGAAACCTTTTTATTATGGCCACTTACATTATATACTCATTGTAATAAAATATGTTCTTATTGTTCATCGTGGTGTAAGATAGGATATGAAGTTTGTTCGATTGGTCCCACGATAGAGTCACTTTTGATGTAGATCGCGACGTTTCGACTGCAATACTGCTAGTCTTGGCTCGCCTGGATACCCACGATCAAACAACACAAGAGCCGATTTATGAGGACCTAAGAGGGAACATCATCTAATGACCGGAATAATAATGAGGATCGAAATGCTCTAATAGCAGCGAACCAACGTGCTAGAAAGAGCGGCACGTAAACAATCGACCTCATCGCCTGATGAAGACTAGCAGTATTTCAGTCGAAACTTCGCGATCTACAGCACACTGTATAATAAGCTCAGTTATGCACGCATTCTGATAATCTGATTGGTTCTCACTTATGATCTATTGGAGGACAGACGTATAGATGACGTCATCATCAAAACTTTTTTTAATTCTTTATTATATAAAACAAATAGATTCTAAGTTGCCGTGCGTCTGTTCAGTAATAGATCACAGAGGACGTCAAAATGTGGTAAGAACATCAGTGACACACTCGGCTGCCCCTCGTTTGCCACTTTTTTGTTCTTACCACATTTTGACGTCATCTGTGATCTATTACTGAACAGACGCACGGCAACTTCGTATCGATCACTTTCTTCTCATTTTGAGCGAGAGAAAATGTTCTGCTAAGTCCATACTATAAGCTCACACAGGTTCAGTGGTCGAGAGGCAATCGATACAAAACCTAAAAAATTAGCAATTTTCCGTATCCATTTCGCAATACTGCTACTACGCCATTTTGGAAATACAAAGCGTCTAAACATGTTACTTGTTTAACCCTTGGTAAGTATCTGAATAACCAGCCGCAAGCAGAAGAAGGTGAAGTCTACTCCGAAACGTAAGCGTCATTTTGAAAATGCACTCGCAATTTTTCAATTTGTCGAGACCTACCCCCCCTTTGCCCTACAATGGCATTCGATCAACCGCAGCCTGTTTACTTTCCTTAGGAAAGAAGAGAAAGGACCTGAGGGCGAGGTTGGTTACGTTCTCGTTGCCTTCGCAAACAAGGTGACGTCATGAGCCGTCACGTGACAAGCGAGTAGAAGGAAACTCCTTGAAAGAGGCTCAAGCTTTTCAATTTCGTTCAACAACACGCACAAAACAGAACAAGAGTAAAAATGTTGTAATGAGTGAAGGAAGAACTTTGTCTTAAATTGTGTTGTATTTCTGAATTCACAACTTATCGTTTACATCTTGTTTTCTATATGCTGAGTCAAGGATACAGCAAATAAACCAAAATTTTCAAAAAAATAAAAATTAATAAATAAGTAAAAAAAAGACATCCCTATACTTCAGAGACCATATAATTTTCATCTCAATCACAAAAAAGTATAGATGAAATCATAATATCGACAGTCTTTTGGGATTCCAAAAAAAAGATAAACTAACCTTTAGAAAACCGTTGAAGAATGCACAAAATATTCGATTCAAGACTGCGCCTTTTGAAGGTAACTACGCAGCAGTGCCCAACATCTTAGAATTCAACTCAAATAGCAAGAAATAAAACGTGTGGTTTATAAATAATCATTAATTTGGTTTCACGGGCTTCTTTTTTTTCCACTTAGTTCACCTTTTGGTTTAAATCGATACGATTTGAGTGAAGCCATGATGCGTGCTGAGAGACGTCGTTACCTAGTAAAACTGCGGTATCTGTGGTCCAAATTTAAACGAACTTGAAGACGAAACAGTTTTCGAAAAGTTACGTTACTCTTTGGAGCGTAAAAACGTGATTAATGTAAAAGTTTCGTTCCTTCATTTTAATGGCATAGATGACAATCATTTGGACTCTGAAGCCTATTTTTCCATTGATTACTAAGATATGTTTTGATGTAGAAAGTATCTTCATCAGCCATGGGTTTATAGATGACAATGAGGTTTGCACTTCAAAACTTATTTGAAAATTAAAACAATAGCGTTTTTTCAAATACTAGATTTATTTGCTACACTCAATAGGAGACATTGGTGTTATTATCTTGAAATCCATTGAGGGACTCCCCTGGTTCTTACGCATGCTCTTCCGGATCTTCCGCTGGTATAGACGGAGATGTTTCCCTTGTGAATCGCTGTCTGTACATCGTGAAGGTACGTTTGTTCACCATAAACGAAAAGCAAATGAATACACCTGTTAGAGAGGAAAAATAAACATTACGAATAATTATATAAATTAAAACCAAGGTTATTGCACTGGTCAATTTATCTAAAGGTATGACCTGTCTAGGGTGGAGGGGTAATATCAGGTCCCACGGATCCTACGTGTATGGGGGTGGGGTTATATCAGGTCCCATGGATCTCCTGTGCACTTTAGTGGAGTTATATCAGTTACTATGGATCTGATGTGTACGGTGGTGGGGTTATACCAGGTCCCATAGTTCTCCTGTGCACGGTGGTGGGGCTATGCCAGGTACCATGGAGCCTATGTGTAGGGGGGTGGAGTTATAGAAGATACCTTGTGTTAGGGGGGAAGGAGAGGGGGATATATAGGAGAAAGAACATGGGCTCAAAGTCTGAAAATGGTCTCTGGCATGTTTAATACTCTTGACAGTTTCCCTTAGTGTCACATGGAGCCAATAGCACCGCAAAGGAAACAACTTACTGCACAGGAATGCGCGAACCACCGAGGCAAGATAGTGGAAGATTCGCATCTAGCTTGGTTGAGAGACAATTCCGGACTAGTCATGACACTCAGAGGGGGAAACCGAAACTTTAACGTGCATCTCACAAAAGTGGCGCAGGCAAAATCAAACCGGTGTGGAGTGGGTTTGTTTCATGTTGTTCAGGTTTTATTTTTGTTTTATTTCTTTCCTCTATTGAAGAAACCGTATTAATTGTGATGAAGGACAATTCACATATTGAGAGTAAATTCTGTAAATAGTAGAGAAACTAAATAATATAATGTCACGTCTGTCGATAATCTTACCTTGAAAGCTGTTGACTATGACGAATGGATATTCGATGTAAGGTGTTGGATGGAATGCCATAACAAATCCTAGAATCCAGGAGATGCCCATAACAGCTGTCAATTTCAGCACGATCAGGGGAAGGTTTCTTTGGCGAGAGGCCGCTACGTTGCCCTAACACAAAGAAATTAAACATACACGGTCAAAACGTGGAATGCTTCTACAGCCACGCGTTACAACAGAGAATATTTCATCCGCTATTGATAACGAACTTCAGAAATTCTTAATTTTCTGGTTAGTTCTCTATTTCGATTTTGTGTCGTGTTTGAGGTTGTTATTGTTGTTGTGTTTTGTTTGTTTTGCTGTTTTCATTTAAACTAATAAATAAGTACCTGCCCTAGTTGCTTGATGAAGACAACTGTACGGATCAAAGACACGATGTTGAGAAAAATCATTCCTGAGACAGGAAATGCAACAGCGTAGGTGCGGGCAGGAAGTGAAAGCTGACATCCTTCTTCAGTAGCTGCAAGGAAAAAAATATAGGACAAAACTAATAAATACAATTAGGAAAATGCCACAAGTTTATTTTTCACGCCCCATAGAGCAATTGCATTCATTCTCCAGAACCACCATGCTAAACAAGGATTCAGAAAAATTGCATGACAGTGAGATAGATTTTCACGTCATTACGCCCTTTAAGGCCAATTTCTACCAAATAATCTGAAAACGTGACTTGCGCGCTAGTAAATAGCAGAAAAGAAACCCCGTTTACGAGGTTGCGTTTTTCCAGTATTGTGCGAAAGCTTTCCATGCGATGAGTTGCAGGAGTGGTAGCTACCTCTGAGGGATAAACTTACCATAACGGATATTTCCAGTGTTGGTCAACTGTAGAGCTACACAAATTCCCACGATAGCCAAAGGAACTCCCCAACAGATTATGCAGTATCGAATGTGGGTTTTCCTGTGTCTGGCAATGGCTCCAGGGTTTGAAAGGCTCACATCTGCGACAATAAACCAATACTGTTTACTCTGCTTCTAATAATGTGGTAGAAAATATTATGGCACTTCTGGGCTGATTAAAATCATCTAACTTGTAACCATTTCACTTAGTCCCTTTCTACACAGACTATCTCAATAGCAAAATGGATTCATGGCGCTCTAACTCATTTTTCACAAGGCATACGGAAGGTCTGTCTGTTACGAAAGACCAAATTATCAGAATGTTTACCTCGTTGTGTTCTGGATGGAAAGGTCACGGGGGTTCGAGCCCTGGTCTGGACAAAATAGTGTTAAGATTGATTCCCTCACTGTTCCTTTTTACCAAGTAATGTAAATGAGTACCAGTGAATTGGAAAATTGTTACGAGGGGTTGGGGACGAAGGTTACCTGTCATTTTTAGGCATGATATCATTGTTAGTAACGGTACTTCTGTCCCTTTCAAGCTGGAGAATATAGGTTTTTTTGCACTTAATTTGTGGTCAAGACACGCACTCATGTCACCTACAGCTTATCACTGGTAGGAGCAGCACAATGTCACCTACTTGGGTTGGAAAAAGTTCGTTGCGTACTATAGGCGATTGTGCTCATCCACAAGAAAACAGTCAGGATCAAGTAATGCAACAAGGCTCCCATCGCGACACAGACTGCTGACGAAACAACATCCGGATCTGTAACAAAGTACACTGACTGCATGGCTATCATTGCAGACGACAAATGCATCACTCTTTGACCAGGATAGGTTCTCAGCTCAGCAAACAGAAAATACGTTATCATCAGGAAAAGGAGAGCAATAATTGACAAGGAGAAACCAACATAAGTAAGAACAAGCAGTGTTAGAGATCGCAATTCTGGCTTTCCCTCATTTCCGCAAGGCTTTCCAGTACTTCGGGTGTAATTAATAAGCGAAGTGTTAACGCACAAAATGACTGTTTGGTTAACTAAGATGTAACTACCAATTGGATAAATCTTTTGGAGAAGGTGAAGTGACACAGAACCGTTTCTTAGGATCTGAAACTCGCTTTGTAAGAAGTTGGGACCCTGACAATTCGCAGTCGAGTGTGTGTGATTTCTCCTGGGTGTTTGAGAGACAGTCGGAAGTGGCATGCATTTTTCTCTGAAAGGATCGTAATACTCAGAAAGCGAACAATTGACATCAGTTTGCAGCGCCTGAACCGACATTGATTTTGTTCTACTTTGCTTAGAATGCAAAGAGAATGTAAAGAGAACTTCGCTTAACTTCAATGGAAATCGATTGCTTCCAAATTTTTCTCCGCAACTGACTTCTAAGGATGACAAATTGTAGCCCGCCATAAGAGCGCAGTGAGGATTTTTGAACAAAGACTTAACACGACCAATCTTGAAAAAAATAGCGTTTGCATAAGACCGACAAAGATCTTTAAGCTTTGTGTTGGGTTCGGTGTGACTCTTAATAGGCGTCACGACACATTTGCGAGGAGACTGCGCCCCAAACGGAATGACTTTCCAAAATGTACCAAGCGGGGGAGACCGAATGTCATCAAGACGAGGATGACGGTTCCGTAACAGGGAAAATTTAATACTCCATAGATGAAGATCCTTTGATTTGCCATGACAGATTGCGCAGTACATGTTAGCAAAGGTGATGTTTTGGGCTATGTCCTGTACAGGTACGGCAGTCAGAGGGTCAGCAGTGTAGTTGATGGAGCTACAGGAGTGCGCAGTCTCTGTACCCTTCCAAAGTGGCGGACATTTAGCGATCATCAGGTACCCTATTTCTAATTGTCTGTCATCTGACGGAGCTCTTCTGCAGGTTTCATAGGTCAGCTTCTTGGACTGACTTCTCACATCAGATGTATGCCTGAGCAAAAACAAATGCCTGATGACATGCGACACGAAATACTTGTTACATCGGCTGGATACGCCATTATTCCGAAACTTACATGTATCAAGTTAAAAAGCTATTCCATCTAGAAAAAGGACCTCTTTATATACATATCCTACCACATGTCATAGTCAACGCAGCAATCTCCAATCTCTTCACATAGTTCATCGCAATAACACTCTCCCCATCTGTAAGGGCTCTTGCGTCTAACAGGGCGACCTCTTTGATGAATATTCGTATTACAGGATGCTCCTAATTTGCAATATTTATTATCGCCATGTTCTTGTGTGAGGGTTTGGAGTTCTTTACAAAGTTCCCCCTGATCTGCCTGTGATGGTTGACAAGGGCTTAAGTCTGTATCATTGAAGAGAAAAAAGTTCTTTTCAGTAAATTAAACTTCAAGTTGACAGAAATATCTGTCCATTTTTTGCTTCCCTTTTCCGTAATTCCACACCCACAGGAAAGGAATACAAACTGAGCAAGTAAAACTCGATGTTACAATTTTGCTGGGTTCTTGTGTTTCGGCTCTAACTAAATATTTACCGATTGTATAGAAAGCTTATAACAAAAAATATTGCCATATTTCCGATAAAAATATCACTTGATTGTTTAAGTTTGGTTGCCCAACGAAGAAATGTAATTCTACAACAGGAAAAGAAAAACCAAAACAAGCCAAGCTTTCGTGCATTGATTTACCTGCTTCAATTAGAGGAGGACTTGTGTTTCCTTGTCCAAAATATGGGCCACAAACAGCAAGAATAAAAATAAAACAAAGAGACAGTACTCCCATTGTTAATTTAAAGGCGGATGTTTCTTTGCAAACTAAATGAAAAAGAGAACATATTTATCATATAAACTGCGGTGTTTTACAAGGATTTCTAGCCTTGAGAAAAGCTGTAACAGCACACATGTGTTTAATATCGCCAATTAGCTGACGAAACGTCACTCGCCTTTCGCGCCACTGTGTCAGGTTGAGGACAGAATGGCAAAGCGTTCGCCATTCTTAATCCAAGGTTGTTTGTCGAAATTTTCTCGGTTTATGGCGTCTTACAACACCGAAAAGTTCATTTGAGCTACAAACAATGGGGTTCAAGATTTTCTAAAAGCGGAAGAAACCAAAACACCAAAAGAAAAACCGAAAGTTGCTTGGCTTGGCAATGGCATTAATTTCGACAACCGGCCAATTTGAACGAGTAACTGAGCTGATTTCTTATGGTCGATATCGTACATATTGAGAACTTTTAATTGCTAGTTACGCCCACTGTTTGTTTTTGTAAATGATTCAACGCATTTTTTGAGCCTAATCGTCCATGCACTTCACGACTTTTCTTCGGAGATTGTGGATCCCCGTTATTTTCATTCATAAAGTTGTCTATCTTGATAAGAAAATAACTAAAAGATTATGTAACATGATTACTGTGTGTAACAAGATCAAATAAAAATTTCATGTTTAATCCAGGGCTTGACATTAACAGGAAATAATTAGAAACTATTCCTTTTTTAGGACTTTCAAGATATATGGTTTGCTTATCTCTGTTTTCAAGCTCACATATTGCATATGAAACCTGCAGTGGACTACCACTCTGTCGTTTCAGGGCAGAGGAGTCGCTGGGCTAGAAAGTTGACTTAGTCTTTCCATTGTGGATTTCATTTTCTCTGCTCTATATGCCAATGCCTTCAACTTTTTTTTCTAGGTAAAGCGAAATAATCGTCATTTGAAACAAAGATTATCTCTCAGTTTAAAGGCTTACATGTTCTTGTTTCTTCTAAGTTCTCCTTTGAAGATCCTGGGCCATTTCAGATGCTAATTCAGATTCGGTAACAGTTGGGTGAAGATGGTTCAAACCGGCTTGCACGGTTGGACAGGTAGATGTCAACTGATTGAGTGAAGCAATCTGAATCTCGTTTATACAGATAAACACCTACACGTACCTTCCGGGGCTGTTGCATCCGCACTGTACCGTTCCAACAAACTGTATTGTTTAAAAGTTCGTTAAAGTCGGATGTGAACAACAAATACGTGTGTACGGTAAAAACGGTTCGAAATAAGCCTCGTGGGAAGGTGATTTTTTTTTTTATTAGAAAAAATTATAAGCAAACACGAAATGTTTCCTGCTTTGATTTGGGCGTCTCATGTGGTTCAATTGGCTAAGGGTATATTTCCTCAAGAGCCCGGAAAAATCCCAAATAAACAGACCATATACTAAATATACTAGATGATAAATCAATGCAGACTATTGTGTCCTGAGCGACAGAAAAATTAATCATAATTTACCTATTTATAAATATTTTTGAGTTTTTTTTTGTTTGTTTACTTCTCTGGGTTCGCATGCGCTGCCAGAGAGTAGGCAGCAATGTTTTTTCTCTCGTCCAGAATAAAAGATTTAAAGCTAATGGTTTGTTGTTCTCATTAAGCAACTGAATAATTGTTTAAACAACAGCCGTTGCATAGAACCAT